CTGACGCACTCTTGATTAGAATTTCAGGTATATGTAAAAATGAAAACACAGCAATGGATTAGGAGTAGTTAGTGTCTTCCTTTTTAAGTGCCAAGGGGAAAAGCGAGGTGGCAGTAACTGAGGTGTACACAATTCGGCTTTTGTTCGGCTTGAAATTGAGATGGTCCAGTGACCATTTATAAATCCCCTGGTAGTTGGCACTAAGAACATGTGGGCAGCAAATAGGGTTTGGCTTTTAGGCAGCTGTTTGGTTTTCCATTATCTAGAGGAACTGCAGCTTCCTGGTATCACCGTCTCCTCAAGGCTGTTCAGACTGTTAAAGTTTAAACACATCTTCCATATGGCCTGTCTGTGCAGTTGAAGCTCATCACGGTAGCTGTCTCAAGCGAGACTGTGGTCTCAGGGACAGCTTGCAGTTCTTGACCTTGAGGACTGGGGAGGACAGTGGTTCTGAAGGAGAGTTACAGTGAATGGGACAGAAGCCTGGTTGGGTCATGCGTGACAGGTGGAGGAGGCACCTCTGCTGTAGTGGTAGGGTAGAGGGAGAATTGTCTGCTCTGTTTCACAGGAGGGGTGAAGCTGACACTAGGCAGCAGTGAGCAGTGGGTTCTTCAGGTCCTGCACCTTGTCGCTCTAAGTTATCATTCATGGTTTTGAAAGACATATCTTTGTTAACGTGAATTAGAAGAACAGTAAGATTGAAGGTAAAAGAAGAAGGGGACAGCAAAGGATGAGATGGTTAGACAGTGTTATCAATGCTGCGAACATGGAATTGGGCAAGCTCCGGAGGACAGGAGGGCCTGGCGTGATGTGGTCCATGGGGTCGCGAAGAGTCCGACTCGACTGTGCGACTGAACAACAACAACTCTTAAGGAAAGGCAAATTAGTTCCTTTTTCACAGTACAGAAATACCTTTTTAAGTTTTGTACTCTTAGGGGTGATATTGTTAGAAGGGAATTGTTGAAACTCTTATCAGCCAGAGAACTATTTTAGGATGCCATTAACGATTTTAAATGTTCTTTATTTTCTCTCAGGCGCCCATATTATATCATAAGTTGTTTTGGAAATTTTCCCTGATTTCAAAGATGGGCTGCTTGGCCGCAAGCAGGCTTCCTCTCAGAGAAACACAGGCTCACTGTCCCTTTAGGTGCACACAGCTAGTGAAGCACAAGGAACTGTGCAGTTCTCTGGGTCCTGTATTTCCAGACTGGTGGCTGCTTGGCTTGGTCTGCAGCTCTCAGAACAAAGGAGAACTGAACAGAGTATGTTAACTGAGATGTCTGGCTTTTCTGCAAAGAGACTAGTTTCATCTAATCTCTTCAAGCAAGTGGAACTATGCATTAGGCAAAAATATAATAACAAAAGCTCTTCTGTATTTTAGCCAAGATAGAGGCTAGGTATATAGTCAAGATAGAGGCTAGGTATATACACAACCTAGCAGTTCGGAAGCAAGAAAATGCAAGTAGATAAATAGGTACCGCTTCGGTGGGAAGGTAACAGCGTTCCGTGCACCTTGGTGTATATAGTCAGTAGAATTCATCTCCACTGGTCTTGTTTGATGATTGGAGTCTTTGGGATTAGCCTTTCTCAGCACAGAAGCTCATTTCTCAAAGCTGGGTGTGCCACGCATTGTGTCCTCCTCGCCCAGCTAGCAATTCAGCAAGCAGCAGTATCTGAAGATGGTAGGTTATGCCTTGTACGCTGTCAGTTATTCTTTCCTTCAAAAGCTGATCCGTACCTGGTACATTTACCTTCAGTTGCCAGGTGTGCCGAGACCCAAGCATGAAAACTGGGCCAGGATACTGCCTCTGCACATGGCAGAATAAACGTTCCAAAACAGTTATCATCGGATCAACCCCTGGCTCACAAGGTCCCGATTTGCTATGTAGGGTCCAGGTTTCAGGGCAGAGTTTTAAATTAACTTTTGGTTAAACACCATTACTTAAAAACAAATGTAAGCTTCATTTTCTTCTCGTGATATATTTTCTGAATAAACATGCAGACTAATTGGTTCATGTAACAATTAAAATGTATTGGTTGGCACCTAAATCAGGCCTACAGGAGCATAAGCACATTTCAGAACTTCTGACAATTCTGGGAAAAGTTGAATCTGTCAGTGTACATAATGTTACAATATTTTGTTAAGATATGGATTAGTATATAATTATGTAGGTCTTTGAAAGATATATCTGGGGTCTTTCTGGCACTCAGTAAGCACTTATTTAATATTTATTATTACTATTACTGTGAGATCATAAGAAGAAAAAAGGAGCCATGTTGGATCAGGCCAGTGGCCCATCCAGTTCAACACGCTGTGGCCAAAGCCCAAACGCCTTTATTGCTGTTTTATATACTTCTTTTAATACAATTTATTTTTTTTAAAAGCCACACCCTGATAATGCTACCCAAATGTCTTTTGTGCTACAGAATTATTTCTATGTAGAGATAAGGGAAAATAGTTTTGAAATTCACATGTGCCTGTTGGGTTTTGTCTGTACTGATTCAAGGACTCAGCAAATGTATTATTAATTTAAAACATTTCTATGCTGCCTTTCCACCCAAATAGGGGTTCCCAAGGTGGCAAACATCAAACATTTCAACATTAAAAACAAATTATATATACAATAATTCAATGAAAACGTATAAGCAGACATGACACTAAAAAACAGAACGCCAATAACTGTTGTTTTTATTTACCTTCTGGAATACTGTGGCATTCATTCTAGACACATTTGTTTAGGGATAACTCATTGTACACAGTAGAACTTCTGAGTGAATACTGTTCAGTATTAATGCGCACAACTTTCCAGAAGAACAGACAAGTACATATTGAGCAGAACAGTTTCTTTCAAGGAACACTCATATTGTTTAGCTGTATGATTCTAAATACGTACAAGAGTGCTGGACAAGGCTTCCTTGACCTGGAAGTGGTGTGGGAATGCGCTAAGCAAAAATTCTCTTGCGCTACATCCGACCATCTTGAGTGTAAACTGAGAAGTGTGGTGCTGTTGTGGTAGCCGGTTTTTTGTCTTCCAAATAATGGCAAATGGCTGACTGTGTCACTTTTTGGAGCTGGCCCTGATCTGAGAAATGAAAACACTGCAGAGTTCAGAGGGCAAAATTAGAGCTTTTATTTGTTTGTTTTGATTTATAGCCCTCCCCTATAAACAGGGCTCAGGGTGGGAAACAACATTTCTGAAAATATACACAACAATTTTAACATTAAAAATTAAGATTAAAATAGGCTTAACAATTCAGCTGACAGTTTCAGATGGTGCTAACAAACACACAATTTAGTATCCTTTCCTGGTTTGGGGAGAAGGAAGGAAGGAGCCAGGTTAGCTTAAAAATATTGCTGTCCCCAACCATAGTCCTGGCAGAACATCTCTGTCTTACAAGCCCTGTGTAACTGATTTAGGTCCCGCAGGGCATGGATGTCATTCAGCAGAAGAAGAGATTGGATTTAGACCCCACCCTTCACTTGGAGTCTCAGAGCAGTTTACGGTCTCCTTCCCTTCCTATCCCCACAACAGACACCCCATGAGGTAGGTGAGGCTGAGAAAGCCCTTCTGAGAAACTGCCCTTGAGAGAATAGCTCTGAGAGAACTATGGCTTGCCCAAGGTCACACCAGCAGCTTCATATGGAGGAGTGGGGAATCAAACCCAGTTCTCCCAGATTAGAGTCTGCACTCCTAACCACTACACCAAACTGCCAGAGAGTTCCACCAGGTCGGTGCCAGGGCCAAGAAGGCCCTGGCTCTGATTGAGGACAGCTGGATACTTTTTGGGCCAGGGATCACCCACAGTTGCTTATCCCTTGAGCGTAATGCTCTTTGGGGAATATACGAAGAGAGTTGGTCCCAGATCAATACCAAAACAATCTATCTACGCTGGATACTTTTTGGGCCAGGGATCACCCACAGTTGCTTATCCCTTGAGCGTAATGCTCTTTGGGGGATATACGAAGAGAGGTGGTCCCCTAGATGCGTTGGTCCCAGATCAATACCAAAACCTTGAATCTGGTCCAGTATTCAATCTGGAGCCAGTGCAGCCAGCGGAGCAACGGTTGAATATGTGCTGTCAGTAGAGTTCCTATGAGAATTCACACCACTGTATTCTGGACCAGTGATCTCGACCAGATCAGTGGGTAATCTTGATGAGATAACAGAGTCACGCCTCCTGGTTTCTCTCATGTGGGGAGATTTGCTTGGTCTTCATACTTGACTATTATTTTATTCATGGCACTTTGTTTTATAGGTCAGATGTTTTCCCTGGCTTGTTTTTAAGTCTTGAATTTAGTGGGCCATAAATAAAATGTACAGTTATTTGTCAAGCATGTTTGTACGATAGATTTAATTTGGAAGAGCCACAAAGTTTATACATAAACATTTTTTTGAAATCTTATTTAAATCAAGTATTTTATTTCATTGCGTTAAAATCACTGGCATTCTTATCCCACACTCCCAAATTTCAACTTGGTATTTGTTAATTTTTTTGTAGGACACCTTGGGAATATTTTTGTTGAGGTAGCATAAAAATATTTTAAACAAATTTCAAGTAATCTAACCCTTCTTTGAAGAGTGAACCCATGTCACAGGACCTGGTTTGCAGTCTGACAACGTGGGTGGATATGCTGTTCAAGAAATATGCCCAAAGCCTGACTGAGCGTGGGGAACGGGATGATTGTTTGAATGATTGTCATGGTAGAGAGGGGCTTATGACGTTTTTTAAAGATACGGATAGATTGGTTTAGTTTTCTCCTGACGTTTTGTCTAATAGCCTGATTCTCTTTGTGTCCTTATCTGCCATGCAGAGGTGTAGAACATGTTTCACTGGTGGTGAGGGTAAGCTGTCTTCTGTCTCCTGGATTTCACTAACCAGAGATCTCTGCAATTGCTGGCATGATGTGCTGCATTACTAAAATATGGACCCCTTGGTTCCAGCCTTAAACATATTTTTCTTTTCCCCTTTCAGAATCTGTCTATGACCTTCTCCCAAAAGAGTTGCAGTTACCGCCCTCCAGAGAACTCTCGGTAGCATCCATGAGTCAAACAAGTGGTGGTGAGGCAGGTTCGCCTCCTCCAGGTGTAGTTGCTGCTGGTAAGTACTTCCCTTTGATCAAATTACGTTTAAAGTGCATATTAATATTTTTGACAACATGAGCAGTGCTGGAAAAGTTTGCAGTCTTAAAAATCCCAAGAAAGAGGTTAGGCAGATGAAATGTCACATGCTCCACCTTAAACCTTTGTGGGAAGGTGCATAATTCTAACAAATGCAGGATCTTTATATTCTGCTCTGCTTTTGGCACATTTTTATGCTCTAGATATGGTGCCTGACTCCTCAAATTTATTCTTTTTGGATGTGATAGCTGCCAATTTAGAACTGAGTTAGAGTATGCTAGCAAATACTGCTTTGCAGCCCAGGGCAGAAAATAGAACGTGCAACAATGTTTTGGGTTTGTGGTTTCTGTGATGTTATGCAATGACAAATAGTGTTTCTCCCTCTGCAAAGATTTTGTGGCTAAGCCACATTATTGTACGATCTCTTCATTGCTTAAAAGGTATATAAAGGGACAATTGATGTCAGCTAAATTCACAAATTACACATTGAATTGAATCCAAAGATTAAGCAATGCCTTGTGTGAGGCACTGTTTCAGACACATGCTTGAGAGGACCCCCGTTTGGTGTAGTGTGGGTTTTTATAAAACTCCGCACATCTCTTTAAAAATATGGGCAGCTTTTGTTACAGCTTGCCTGATCTGGCCAGATGACATCAGAGTTCTTGTCAGCATTGGATGTACATCTGGAAAGCTTCTGTCTTTACCTTTGGACTATTCTCAATATTAGATTATTTTGGGGGGTCTTTGTCCTTCTGGCCCAAAATTACATGGATGACCCCAGCGGGTATACTCTGTAATACCCCTAAGGTTTTTCTAGCAGAGAATAGCAGAACCAAGTGATCCAGAAAGGGCTTCTGTGGAAAAGCATCCACTTGGTTTGAGAGTGCAAGATTTAAACTTGATGTAGAAACTTTACAGCACTGCTCAATGTTGGTGTATTTTAAGACTTTTTCTAACGAAATCTGTGGATTTAATTGTGTGTTATGGAAGATCTGAAACAGCATCACTTGTTTTACACTTAAAGTCTACTTCATTTAAGTGAATTTTTGGGAAATGAACAAACGCTTTAAATCCACAGATGAATGTAACTATTGGCTTCTGTATTTTAATGTCATTTTCACACTTTTGATGGTCTTGATAAGGAGAACTGAATGTCTGTTACTTCTGGGCAGCTTTAATTGTCTTGACAGTCAATCCACTTCCTTTCAAAAACTGAACACACAGAGTTCGCTTAAAATGGAAAAGAAGTAGTCTTCGTAGCTACGAGAGTGTTAGATTAAGGACCGTAATAATAGAATCCAAAGGAATTTTCAGGACAGCATTCATTTTGGGTAGCAGATTCTTTTCAGCATATAAGTATGGCATAAATACATCTTTAGTTCATTTGTAAAGACTCCATCCCAAAATAATTCTCTTGGATTGCTGTGATTTGTGTCCTGTAAAGTTTCCGAACTGGTAGCATACGGTTCACCTTCACATCACAGTAATCTTCCCTGGAAGTGTGGGCTAGAAGAACTGCGAGACCTTGGTCTGTTTGCATGGCTGAAGGACTGGGTCTAGGCACAGCGGAGTCTAACTCCCATGTATTCAGCAGGGACCAGTTGCTTCACTATAGAGTGACTGGAAACTGCAGGGTTAACGTTAATGTGCTGCAAAAATATGCAGAAAGAAGTGAGCAGGACTGAAAAGTGTACAGAGTGAGATGAGATGACTGTAAGAGCAATGCTTTGTTTGCCCAGGTCTTTACATTCAAATGGCTTGGCGAGAAACTCCCCGCCCCCCCAAAAAAGGGTAGTGAAGGGAATTACCCCACGTATGAGGTTGCCAAAACATGTTTGCAGCCTTCATGAAGGACTTCATTTGGATGCTGAGGAAGTCATCGAGCCACTGGGAAAAACACACTCTTCAGAAAATATATAGGTGCTGATAGGTAGAGGGCAGCTTGAAGTGCAGCTGGAGGGTCAGCATGGTAATCCATTTCTCTCATCACTTAAATGCAGCCTTGATCTAACATTATTACGTGGAGGGCAGTTGGGAGAGTCTTTAAAATAACTGTAGGTCCAGAGCGCCTCCCGGAGTGGGAGGGGGGAAAGACCCGAGCCAGAGCACGGGTACTCCTTCCTTGCAAGCAGGTCGGAAGGCTCCAGCGGAGGGTCCCTGGCTAGTGGCTGAATTGTAGCAGGGGCCTCCTGAGTCCTGGAAATCAGGGTGACCTTCACTGGCTGGTCAGAATGCCATGCATGCCATCCTCCTGCTGGTTATTTCTTCCTGGGGAGGTGGTGGTCACATTTCTGAGTGTGCCCAGCCATGTGCTTCTCCAGGCTGGGTAAAGTAGCTTGACTGGCTAGCAGAAGTGGCTGTGACTGCTGTTTGTCCAGTGCTCTGTAGATTGTTTGCTCCACTGGACCAGCGCCTTGAGGCTGAAGTGGAAAGCACAGGGAAGCGTCTCTTCTCTTTACACAGTTGACCCCGGAGTGGCCATATTGCCTTGTACAGAGCTGTTCTGCCTGCCTGTCCATGTCTTCTGGAGAAATAACCTGCTTGGTTACATTCTCTCAGGGTAGCCTCGGGTGGGGACTCGGAGACAGAATAAGTTTCAGACAGTGGCCAGGAGGGCGGCCCCCCCCCACTCCGCTGCTTCTTTCAGGCAAATAGGAAAGATTTTAGCTGTTCACAATGTCAAATGGCTGGGAGGGAAAGGTGACCTTGGACAATCCAGCGTTGTGGGAGTATGTTCCTGTGTGTCCTGAAAACAAATCTCATGGTTTGTTTTGTGTAAGCCTGTTGTGTCTGATCTGGCTTATCTTGAAATGAGTCTTACAGATGATAGCAGGACCCCAAATTTATCGCTTCAAACCATCTTTTCAAAAGTTGGCTGCGGAGCTACAGTGGTGTTCTGTGCGACACAAAAGATCCCCCTCCCTTCTTTAAGCTCACTGATGCAGTTACCTTTGCCGATGCCAGTCTTTCCTCACTTGAAACTTAACTTCATGTGTTCTCTGCTTCCCTAGTCATGGGCTGCAAATCAGATTGCCCCAAGTCTGTCTCAGTGCTTTGATCTGAGGTTTTGGGACACACATACACGGGTTACAAAAAGGTTTGCTGCAGTTAACTTCAGATTTCTGGAGGAACAGGATTGGCTGATTTCAGGTATGAGGGCCTGCAGGAACAGACTGCTAGTTCTGCTATTAATGTTTGGCTTCCAATTTGCAAATCAGTTAAAAAAATTAATGGAGTCTTGGCAATTGCCTTTCAAGAGCACATTTGATTATTTTCACGTTAAAAGGTGTGTTTCATGTTCATCCATTCAGACAGCGGGTTTCTTTACAGATCAGCCAACTAGCAAACTGGAATTTCCAGATAGCCCTCTGCCTATTTCATGGGAAGAAAAGGTGCCTACCTCCTGAACCTGGGGTGTGGGCAGGGGGGCTTGTACAAAGGAAATATCTTTATATTTGAAGTGCTTTTCCTGTGCAGTCTCAGTCTCTTGCTAAAAGGTGCAAGAGTTCAGTCACCCCTGTGTTTTGTGTCCCAGAGTTGTGAACTGTTCTGTAAGAGAGGCATGGAGGGTGAGAAAATGCTATGAAAGTGTGTGTGTAAGGAGTAACCTTCCTCCGATTTGCCACACAAATATTTCACCGTTGGATGTAAAACTTTATGGCACTGCAGCAGATCTCTTAAACATGCTATGCACATCTTTCTTTAAAGAGAGGCCATAACTTTGGAAGGTGGAGGAAAGGCCAGAGGTAGTTTACCTTTATTCTGTTTAGCATGCTTAGTGTTGGAAATGCATGATTAGGTACAGCTTTAATTTTTATTTCAGCCTTTTTTAATTTTAGGTTTGTAGTGAAGTAAAATTTATTTCAGAATTTTCTGGCTTGTTTTAGCAGTTACTGCAAAAGTCTGCTAATCAGAAGTACCCATTTCTGTCATGTTATGGATAAGTAGTTTTTTGGACACTGAATATGAGGAAGACTTTGAAATGGCCTTCACTTTATTTCTGCTTATAAGAACTGAGATATGTCTTCCTTGGATTATCTCTTTAAGAGCTGGAACGTCTTCCTCTTTTCTTTTTGTTTGGGAAAAATATTTCAAAGGTGAAACTGTTAATGAGGCCTTGGGTTTAGTTCAGCTCTTGCTGCTAAACGAGTACTGAGATTATTCTGATAGTTTCATATTCTTCTGAATTAACAAATTGGCAAGTGAATTAACAAAGATCACTGAGAATGCAAAGAATAAAGCACAGTGTTTTGTAGGGGATGGGATGGTTTGTTTTGTTTTTGGGAATGCAGGCTGAAGGTATGCTATAACTGCTCATCTCCTGCATGTTGGTGCAGTGCCTGGTATTCCTGTTGAGTAGTCTTGGGCTTGCATTAGCACATAAATGATCCAAGAGGCAAGCCCAGGAGAACCTGGTGCTTAGGTGACATCAGATGATTGTTTTAGGAAGGACTGCTTTATCTTCCTGAGTTGGCATGTACCATATGGAAAGGTTGCACCTGTAACAAGTTTTACCTACTCTTTCTGTCTCCTGGATTCAGTGAAAGATGACCTTTTATTCGTCAGTGTACCTCTGTTTTTATCTAGAAAACCTTTTTTAAAAAACTGACAGATTTTAATTTAAATTTCCTAAAACCTATAAACGAGACACGTTTCTTGTAGGAGCTGCTGTTTTGGATGACTTTGTATGTTAGCTACGATCCTATCCTTACAGGGAATAGTTTGTGTGTTTTTGCTGATTAAGCAGTTCTGTGATAGTTTGAACATGGATATGTTTCTCACCAGCTTCAGAACTCAGGATAGCAATTTTGAGTAGCTTAGGGGAGCTTGAGAAACAGACATCAGGCAAGATACCACAGCAGAACTCATCTGCTTTCTGTCTGGGAGGAAGCTGGGGTGAAAAGCAGTCACTGTGAGGATTCAGAATTCCAGCTTGCTAACTGGCTGCAGCAGCTTGTCACTGTTGAGTGGCAGGCCCCGTTGTCTGAATTGGTGAACACGAGTCACCCAGCAAAAATCCCAGGTAAGAAATAACCACTTGTGCACCTGTAAAGATGAGTGCTGAAGTGACGGGTTTTCTGTCTGTCAAAGCAGACTGAATCCTGCACTTATTCTCTTAAATGCAATTTGTTTTTGGCATGTGAACATAAGGGGGAATTTGGGGCTTAATGTAAGTAACCAGCCTACTTTGAATTGTCTTGAATTTGTGAAGTAAATTGGATTGCTTGATGATATGTGCTGGGATGCTAGTTGTTTTCTCTATTAATACACTTAACTTGCATTCTAGCTCCGCCATTCAGAGGCAGGCATCGTGTGGTGGGTTGTGTGACAGTGTCTGTCAATAGTGAAGACAAATAGTGCGAGAGACACTTAACCCATCCAATCTCACCCAGGGTGTAGGTCGGTCTCGTTTTCAGACTTCTTAAGTCTTTTTCCTTTCTTTTTCTTTTTGTTTTTTTTCTAAATAGTGGATTGACTGATTGAAGTTAAACTCTTGTAAAGCTTTTGACTTTACTTCAGTAAATAAAGCTGAAGAAAAATAGAAAGCCCAAGCTGGCATGTAAGGTGTTGAAAGCAGGTTTGCAGCCACTTTGTACATCTTGGTTCACACATCTGCCTTTGACAGTGGCACTTCAAAACTGCCTCTCTGCGTCAACTGGCCCTGCAAAATTAATTGACACAAAAGCTTTAGATAATACTGAAAGCGGATTCTGCCAGGCATCATAAATGACACCAATGTAGGGACAGGTTCTGAGGCTTGGGCCTGTTGGAATCCCTTTGTTGTTGAATGCTCATTTTTTCATTCTCTTTCCTGAAGAGCACGACATGCATGCTAGGGTTCTGGAAAGCAGCAGATTTGCCCATCAGCTGCTTGTGCTTAGTCACTGCTGACATACAAGGTTTAGAAACCTGACAGGCACTTCAGGCCTTTGCTCTTACTCTCTCCACAGTGGGAGACGTCTTGTGTAGAAGGGAGTTGCCAGATACCTTCTCAACACGAGACTGACACTTGTTTGGTTTGAGAATCTTTGTGCCCTGGTGGACTCGGCTTCCTTCAGCCTTTGCCTAAAAATAGCAGCTATCACTTTGCAGCTAGCAGTTAGTGGATGAAGGACAGAATTTTCAAAGGGCTTATGTATGATCTCGGCACTCTACATCCTTGGGAGGCTAGGATCGCTTCAGTTAGTAACTCCAGTAGCTAATTGGGCCTCTTTGTCAGCTCCTGATTCCAGTTCAGAGGAGGGGAAAGGGGAGGCTCCAACAAATCCCACTTTGCTGCCATAAAAAGGGAAAGGACATTTAAGGTTCAAACCTGCCTTTGGCCATGTTGATAGGCTGTGAGCTCATGCAGCCTTGCCAAGGGAGATGCCCTGCAGCATGGAGAAGAGGGTGGCCCGGACTTTGCGCTGTGCCAGAGCATTCCGTACTGACCTGTGTTGACTGGTGGCCTGGCTCAGTTGGAGGCAGCTTCCATGTGTTGATGTATAGAATGGCTTTAAGATGTAACTGATCCATATTTGTGTTTCATCTTGTATTTCCCAAAACGCAGTAAAATTATGCAACCATCCCCCAACAGTGAGTTTGTGCTTCTTGAGGCATCCCTTCCATCCTAGAGTGAAAGGGGGGAGGCTTAATGGGAAGATGGTGTGTTGTCCAGCGTAAAGATGCCCAGTGAGATGACAAGTTCTTAAGCTAATTGTGTAGCTCACTTCTCAGTGGCTGCCCATTTTTTGCAGGGGGGGGAGGGGTGAGAGTTGGCTTCTAAATTTTTCTAAATCTTCCTTTGGGCTCACTTCTCAGTGGCTGCCCATTTTTTGCAAGGGGGGGAGGGGTGAGAGTTGGCTTCAAAATTTTTCTAAATCCTTTGGGGTGGTTTAGAATGTATTTTAAAGTTGGACTGAGAGAACTTCGTTCTGTGAGATCAGCTAAGGGCGAGCCATTACATTTTAAACTCTTCAAGGTCATGCTTAGTTCACATTGCATCCAAATTGCTTGGTTCATCTCAGTGATGCTCAGCCTTTTGCTCTGGCTGAGCCTCATTCAGCCTCAGGAGGAGGACGTCTACCACCTGGCTTCAACCACAACTGTAGGATAAGGCAGCTCTAGGTTATCCTCCATGATGACTCACATGCTTTCCTCTTCTCTGGTGTTTTAGCTAAACTTCGCTTTAAGCATCCAAAGAGTCAAGCATCTGACTTGACACTGCTGTGACTATTGAGTAAACCAAGCACTTGTTTAGATCACCTGAACTGTCTTGGTTGTGATCTGCAGAACTGTTGCTCAGGGCTAGTGATAGAAGAGTAGGGCCCTGATGACCTATGTAAGAGCAGCAGCATCATTCTTTCTAAATTCCTCATGCAACCGCTTTAGAGGGAATTCCACTTGGAGGAGGGTACGTGTGTCCATCATCATAATTTTATTTAGTCAAAGCAATCATTGGCTTTTTGAATAGGATATTAGTCTATAAATGCTTCCTGCTGGGCATACCCACCCCAGTATGGACTGGTGTAAATCATTCCACTTTGAATAGATGCATGGTTGCTTCTTTGCCAGCGCCAACACAATGTTTAACCTGCTGTCTTTGCTGAAGGAAACTTTTGCCAGAATAGTGGGCTAGTCACAGGCTCAGCGAATGAGCTCTTTGCACCTTGCTTGAAGACAAGGCAATCTCCCAACTTGCATGACCATTTTATTATCATCTTTGTCTGGGACAGCCATCCAAAGATGATGATGTTCTGCATGGGGTTTCCTTTGGGGGGACTGATCCCAGAAAGGGGAAGCACATTGCATACCTTAGGTGTAATGCATGCACTGGGGAAATTATTAAGCATGCAGAAAGAAAGCAGCAAACACCTAAGATATGCAAGCTGCATACTGGTGTTCCAGAGTGGGTGGGAGTTTACAAACTTAATGAAAATTAGTACTGTTTTAACAAAACCAAATGTCGGGTAGCAATCTATTTAAAGCAAAGTGGCTGCAAATCAGCAACTCTACATAGTCACTGAAATGAGCAAATTTTACATCTAAAGCACTGCATTAATGCATGAATACAAAAAGGATTTGAAAAGTGTTTTTTTTAAATGAAATGCAGTTTTGAGTGACTGAATCTTCCAGTTTCAGCCACTGCATTTGCCAAGGAACAGACTCAGAAAATGGAACTGGTATCACTCAATAGCTCCAGATTATTGCAGAGATTGGTTGGATATGGGTTGTGGGACAATGTGCTGGTACCGAACTGACTGATAAATTTTCTTCTGAAACTTTGGCAACTAAAACTAAATAGAAGACCAGTCTGCTTTGATCTTGGTCTACATTTCTTGGGTTTCCTACTGCAGTAGTAATGCTTTAACTCAGCCAAGATGGCAGTGTGTGAGATGAACATGCAAGTTGCCCATTCAGTGCATTTAGAAAAACAAAACAAAATCTGCAATGGTCTTCATTGGCCAGAATAAAGAATTGAGGTTTTATACTCCAGAATTAATGTCACCATCAGAATTCTTCTTTCACAGAAGTGTCGAAACACCCTTTTGCTCTCTCCAGCAGCTACCATCTTCCATATTTAGTAAAGAAAATGGCTACTAGTTAGTGCATGATTCAAAGATAGGTGAATATCTCAAGTTAACCTGTTGATGCCATTTTTGTTTCTGTGTTCCGGGACAAATCCGGAGTGTGGCAGGAGGTCCACAGTCTGCTTCAGTCGGAGCTGTTCTTTGAAGGCTTAGTGGACAGACCCTTTTGTATCTAAGCCCCCTTCTTGCCTGCGCTGCTTTTCAGAAATCCTTCTCATAGCTGTTATTCCATCCAGCTCTCCTCCTCCGCTGCTCCAGCTTGCTCTCGGGCAGAGTCTCACTTCACTGAGGCATGGCCTGCTCACCATGTCTTTCAGAAGCTCAACTAACATGTTCCTAGAAGGGAGGCGCAGAACTCCGTCTCTTGCCTTTAAGTGCTGAGCATGCTCTGATTTAAAATCTCAGGTGATGCAATTTGTCCAAAGGCCATAAAATAGTGATTGGTACCAGTTCCATTTTGTTACAGTTAAGTTACTTCTATATTTTATTTTTCATTTAATAATTGATATCTGGAATAACCAGCAGCTCTTTTCTCATTTATTTTCTCATATTTTTATTCCAGGATTTGCCTCTGAAGCAGGGAGTGTCTGCATTAAAAATGACCTGTAGTTCTCTGCTTCATAGGTTAGAAACTTATTTTAATATTTTGTGGCTAAGCACAGTCCCACCTTTTTCAAAAATTTCAAATGCTGAATGATTGGCACTGAATGTGGCCTACAAGCATTCTCCATCTTGTGTTGGGGATTTAGATAAAAATGGCTTGAATTTGCTCAGTCCTGCTGAGGCAATAAAAGTGCTCTTGTTTGCTTGCAGCCTTTTTATGACTTAAAGGAAATGTTTAAAAAGCCTGATTGCCGCACATACTTGTGGAAATGGAAGTACCGTTTGAACACTTCCCGAATACTTTTTTTGTTGCTTAAGCCTTGTATTGCTTGAAGTGTTTAAATTCGAAACTAGCCAAATTCCAAATATTCATTTGGGGGAAAAATCAGTTGACCAATCACATTATTTCAAAGGGACTGCTATAGCCAGCACAGTTGGGAACATGTGCCCTGTATTTACTTCTGAATTGTACACCGCAGATGCTTCTTCAGCTCCTTCCTCTTCCTCCATGGGCGGTGCTTGCAGCTCCTTTACCACCTCTTCCAGCCCCACCATTTACTCTACCTCAGTCACTGACAGCAAAGCTATGCAAGTGGAGAGCTGCTCCTCAGCCATGGGGGTAAGTAACCGAGGGGTAAGTGACAACCAGTTAACCAATCACACAGCCCAGCAGCAGCAGCAGCAGCAGCCACAGTCCACCCCGAAGAGAAACACGGTCTTGTACATCTCGCCACCACCAGAAGACTTGCTGGACAACAGCCAGATGTCCTGCCAGGATGAGGGGTGCACGTTGGAGTCCGAGCAGAGCTGCAGCATGTGGATGGAGGATTCCCCCTCCAACTTCAGTAACATGAGCACCAGTTCCTACAATGATAACACTGAGGTGCCGCGTAAATCACGAAAACGAAATCCAAAGCAGAGGCCAGGGATCAAACGCCGAGACTGTGAAGAATCGACCATGGATATCTTTGATGCTGACAGTGCCAAAGCTCCTCACTATGTCCTTTCTCAGCTCAGCACGGACAGCAAAAGCAACCTGAAAGCAGGAAATGGGTTGGTATCTGCCTTTTTAAGTTCTATCAACATGTGTTATTTTGAAAAAGAAAAAAAAAACCCTAAAAACATGACCTTGACTTTTTTCTAATGTTCAGCTCAGGTTTTCTCTCAGATGTGTGGGAGAGCTGATGTGGGCACTTAATAAGTTCTATGGTTTCTTATGCTAAAATCCAAAGTACCCTTATGTGGCATAAGAGTGGGCCGTTTTAGCAGCCATTGAACTAACAAGTCCTGGAACAGTTGTCTAGCCACTTCCCCTTGGAACCTGGTTAGTGAATAGGAAGGTTTTCACTAAAAAAAAAAAACTTGTTAAAAAACATAACCCCTGAAGCTGAGATCGGCTCCTCCGTGTCTTCCTCAACAGTTCCAAACAAAGCTGTTTGTGAGGATCTAAGTCTGCGCTTCGCCTCCTTCTGTTTCACTCGCTCCATCAATTAAAGACAGCTGATTTTGATCTTGTTATATTAACACTTACTAAAATGTTAAGATGTGCTGAACCAAATTTGTGTTCCATGTCACTTCAGTTCTGTATTTGATTTTTTCAAAAATAAACCTCTAATCCTATTTCGCTGTGTGCTTCTCGGTTGTGTGCATGTGTGTGTGTGTATCGTTTGTGGTGATGCCTGGGTGGTGGTTCCTCATCTCTCCCACTTCACACTCTCTTCACATAAGTGCATAGCAGTTTACGGTTAATGGTTTGAATCAAAGATGATCCCACTGCGCAAGCAGAAAGGTTCTTCTCCGAGTGTTGTGTGTGTTGTTTTCCCCTTTCCCTCGTTTGCAGCCCCCCAAAACTGGTTCCGGAGACTTCCAGTGCCTTTGGGGAGGCTGCGTATGTGGGTCGCTGCACAAAGGAGATTGCATGAGCAGAAATGTCTTCTGCTTGACCAGCAAAACCTTTGGATCCAATCCACAGCCCATCAGCATACAATCCTGTTCTTGTTGTTGTGCCTCATAATCCGGTGGCAGGATTCCTTTACATGCTCTGTATATTTTTAAAATGTTCTTTTATCCTGGGAAAGATGACTGTCCACGGTGGTTTTCCTGATGCTGCCAAAGGATGTTTTTGGGTAGGGTGGGGTAGCCTTTTGCTCCCAGCACAACCTACAGTCTTCTGTTCTCCTAGGCACAACTGATAACTCTGTGAGAACAAAATGAGAGTTCAGTAAACATTTTGTGCTTTTATCCCAAATCAGCCAGGAAAGCTGAGTAGGGTTAGAGGTTGCGAGTTCTTCCAGGCAGCAAGTTCCGTTTGTGGAGGCTAGAGCTGTGTGCAGTCTGTCACTCCCGGCAGCTGTAAGGAGTCCCTGAAAGCAGCATAATCTCACATTACTTTGGTGCCAGGTAACATTGGGCAGCAAACTGGCTGCTGGAATTCAGTGCTAGATTGGTGTGTTTTGTTTGCAGAGTCCCCCCACCCCTTCACAAGGATGCTGAGATTAGAGTAGAGCCTTAGCGTCTTGCAGCAGCCACATGGCTGAGGGACCACAACTGAGGGACCACCCAGTGAGCTATCAGGGCTTTTTAAATTTCAGCCTGGGTCTCCAAGCCTCGTTTTCTGTCGCCAAGGGGACGCGTGCGTGAGCTAGCCAGTTGAGTTGCCATGTATTATTTAGGTCTGGGATTTGGTATTGCTGTAAATAACTCTGAAAATGTAGGCATTAGAGGCATGAGGTGCATAATACCTAGTTGAGAGTATCCGCCTCTGGTTGCTGGAGACATGATTCTTGGTTTCATGGTGAAGCAGAGCCTTGGTAAAGAGAAGCAGCTTGTTTGACAAGAAGCCTGTGCACGTGTTTTGTGGAGAGTTCACACACAACGTGCGTCTAACCACTTCTCATAGGAAATAGAGAGAATTTCTGCTGGTTACACACATTGCTTGTGCAGCAATGAATTTTACATCCACAAACAGACTAAGGTTTAAAATCCTGGTATTGAATTAGCATTATTAGTACAGATTACAAAGAGAGGGTGTCGTTGCACCAAAGCCAGAAAGAGCCATAACCACAAGCTACAAAAACAAGTCCTTTGATTCTGTACCTCAGGCAGGCAGCTGGCCTGTTTTTAGATAGCAGCTTGATTTCTCATGAGGTTTGAAAGATTCCTGTCCTCAAGAGCTGTCCACAAATGCAAGAGCTGACCAAACACTTCTTTGAAAGTAGGTTTTTCTGCAGCTGCTGCTATGGTTGGTTTATATCTAGTACAGGTTGCACGTATCAAAAGATAATCCCTTGTCAGGTCTGTCTCCCCTTCAGTGTGTGTTCTATTTGCAAGCCTGCAAGGCAAAGCTGCATGGGATTGCACAGAGGTAGGCCAGTGCTGTGCTTGGAGCCTGCAGACAGATCAAATCCTGAAACATGCCTTGCCTTCAAGAATGCACAGATGCAGTTCATGTAGAACTAGCTAAAAGTCTTTGGTAGCAAGGGTTTAGCTTTTTTTGCAGAGCCTTTAAGCAACTGGAGGGTATTGAATGTGTGTGTTGTGAAGTCTCAGGTAATAAATACTGCATTGCATTGATACAAGCAGAAATAGGGCCCTGATAAACTTGCAGGGCTCTCAGGCAGTCACTAGAGTTTAGTCTTTCATCTACAGATCTGCTGGCGAGGCCATCTGTGACAGCATCCAGTGCTGGAAACAGCTATGAAAACATACCAATCTTCATTTTTTTCTATTAACTTTTCTGTTAGCCCCTCTTGCTCCCATTGTAGACCCATAAGACACCAAGGGATCCTGGTGTGGTGCCTGATCACGAGAATTGGCTTAGGCTTCCCATGCCTATATCCTGATGCTCAGTGTGCATCCAAGAGTGCAAGAAGAAATGTGCCCCTTGGCCTTTGGGGCACAAGGCTGGCCTTGGATATTGGTGGCCAGGCATGCCAGCTGTACAAACTGCTCGGTCGACATCAGCTTGTGCCGGTCCCTGCTAGTGCTCTGCATGTCTGGACAGCAAAGACTGGTAGCACTTCTGGAGCCTCCTCGGCAGCCTCTTAGACATGCATGCCTAACCGTGATTTCTTAAGATTCAGGAGCCATAGTATTAGTTCAACACTGGTCTGTTATTTTCTGGATCCCTTAGGATCGCCAGAAAAAAGCATATTTTGGAGGACTTCTCATAGGTTCCAATTACGGAACTGATTGTGTGGTGCAGCTTCCAAGCATTATTATTTAGATTTGTTTAGAACATGTGTATGCTGCCTCTCTGCAGATCTGCTGGCCAAAGGCTGAGTGTTTGTGAAAGCAGGCACACCAGTTGGAGAGAGACGGTTCTGAAAACCAATAAATCAGCCTCCTTCCCCAGAGAATCACCATCAAGTGTGTCTGTAAACTTGAACTGTTGCAAGGTCAGCAGCAAAGCAGGCTCTTCGTCTTGGCACCAGAGTTGCCTGCTTCACCTTGGATGCCACTCGGAATCTGCATTGCTGACATCTAGGCAGGGTTTTGATTAATTTGCATCTGAAAAGGCCAGGCTGAAGGGAGAAAAGTGGATTATTCCATCTGAACCAATGCAGTGAAATCCTGTGCTGGTTTTTCAGCTTGGGATGAAAATGACCTTTCACCCTTTATAAATAACATTTATTTGAAAGAGAAAAGATGGGCATGATGCAATAAAGTTAAGCAAATTTAATTCTTACTGACTTCAGGGAGTCTTAAATGGATTTAGCTTTGTTGGAGTGTGCTCAGCATGTAGAAGAAAAACGTCATGGCCCACAGAAGACGCACAGTCTCTTTGAGTGGGGAGAAGCAACATTTGCCAGTTGCACTGAATGGGAGTATGACCCACATGGCCCCAGTGGGAGTAGCCTTGTCACAATTTAATGTATGCATGTTAAAGGAGTGCTTTTCTTGTGGCTCAGCTGTATCCATTTCAAAACTGCTGCTAGATCAAGATGGGTAGCCATGTTAGTTTGTCCCTAGCAGTAGAAAAGAGCAAGAGTCCAGTAGCACCTTAAAGACTAACAAAATTTGTGGCAGGGGAGGAGTTATCATGAGTCACTGCTCACGTCTTCAGATACAACTAGAACGTGAGTCCGTCCTTATATCACAAGGTTGATGGATTTCCATTCTGTATGGCTAAATGCAGTGCCTTCCGTGGAGATAGATCAAGATGGGTAGCCGTGGTAGTTTGTCCCTAGCAGTAGAAAAGAGCAAGAGTCCAGTAGCACCTTAAAGACTCACAAAATATGTGGCAGGGGAGGAGCTTTCGCGAGTCACCTCTTCAGGTACAGCTAGACTGAGAGTACATCTGTCCTATTTAATCACTCTACTTTCCGATAAATAGGATAGATGGACTCCCATTCTAGCTGTGCCTGAAGAAGTGAACAGTGTCTCACAAAAGCTCCTACCCTGCCACAGATTTTGGTAGCCTTTAAGGTGCCTACTGGACTCTTTCTCTTTTCTAAAACTGCTGATGTTTGTGACATCTTAGTCAACGAGGGTTCAGGTCTCCCGTATGAAGTGAGAGTTCTGCTTAGTGGTATATATTTAGATAATACAGTATTTTTGGGAGATGGTGTCAGGAAAGTTTTGAAATAGCCAATATTCAGTGACCAGTATTTGCTTCAGCTGGTCACAGTAAAGGAGAAATGGCACAGTTCAGGTAGCTTGTCAGCTGGCTGGGCTTATATTAGTATTGTTGGCTATGCAGCTGTGTATCTTTCTCTTCAGCACACTCAGCAGTACCCCAGTCCTGAAGTGGAAGCCCTCTTTATCACCTTAGACATGTAGGATGGCTTCCTTCCTGATATGGAGAGGGTGCGAGGACAGAGACTTCTCCTCCCGACTGTTCCCTGTCCATAGCACCTCATAGGCCCGTGCCCTGCCCTTTGGGCTCTTGCTGTCTTTGGAGGAATGCCTCTGGTAACATGACCAATGGTTTATTTTGACTCCTCAGAACATCAGAAGTGGCAAAAGCAACTGGAGGGAAGAAGAGCCCTCTGTTATGTGGTCAGTACCCTTCTAAAAGTGAGGGCAAGGAGCTGAAGATACTGGTGCAGCCAGAGACCCAGCACCGAGCTCGCTACCTGACTGAGGGCAGCCGGGGCTCAGTGAAGGACGGAACACAGCAGGGGTTCCCCACTGTAAAGGTAGGGCGGGAGGGGAGGGGGAGGGGCCAAAAGCGGGCTCGTGGGGAGCCATCGTCCTGTCCTTTCGGGTGACAAAGCCCCCTGCCGTTCACTCTTGCCCAGAGCTGGCCTCCAATCACGCTGTTTCCATTCTAAGTTTCAAACGGCACTGAACTAGGACTTGTGTACACAGTTCCATGTTTCCCAAGGATGTGGCTATTTTGTTGTTTGGAGTGTAGCAGAGAACTGGCTGTCTCCCTGACCGAGACAGAGAAGCCTTTCTTGCTGGGCGGAAGGTGTGTTAAATATAGACCCCTCGGTGCTGTCATCATGCAGCCCTGCAATGAATGCACAGAGAAGCCAGGCAAGGTGTGCTGCGTGTGGGTACCCACACGCATATACTCTCCCTCCCCCTCCCTGAGAGCAGATACAAGGAAGCTCTCAGGCAATAAATACCAGTGCTGAACAGGACTCTGTGCCTGCGGGTGCCACTGTGAAGCCTGCCTTGTAAAATATCACTTCGGTGTGGAGGTGAAGCAGAATTTGGGGGCGGGGGAGCTTTGCAGCCCATCCACGCAGCTGGCAAAATGCTGTCCATTTCTGGTCCTAGAATTATAGGGTTGGAAGGGACCTCCAGGGCCATCTAGTCCAACCCCCTGCACAATGCTGGAGATTCACAAATACCTCCCCCTCCACATCCGTAGTGACTGCTGTTCCACGCCCAGAAGATGACAAGAAGCCTCCAGGATCTCCGGCCAAACTGGCCAGGAGAAAAATTGATTCCTGACCCCAGAGTGGCAATCAGCATTTCCCTGGGCGTGTAAAAAAGGGCCACAAGAACTAAGCACTGAGGCAACCCTTCCTGCCCCTCCCTCTCATGATTTGCCTAAGTTCACAGAATCTGCATTGCTGTCAGATGGCCATCCAGCCTCTGTTTGGAGTAGTCACTGTGTGTGATGCAGGCTGTTCTGGGTCCCAGTCAGATATGAATGTTTGTGGGTGTTGCATGCATCATAGAATACAACCAGGCACAGGTTCATTTTTGGATTAAAAACATGTAAATCGCTTGGCTACGTATTCCACCCACTCCACCCTTGAGAAACCCTGCAGCTCAACATCCGTAGTTGACTACTGTAGTAGAGATTAAATAGCTCAGATATATGTAGATTTTCTAAGGAAAGCTGTTAAAAACTGCAGCTGCTTTGGCGGTGGGGGGCACTATTGTGTCATGAAGTGTTCCTGCATAATGGCTGGTTTTTTAAACAATACATCTGCAAGTTGGAGTTCTGAAAACACTTCCGTTTCCCAAAGATCTTAGGTTATTGAAAAACAATAACATTGCAAAGAGATTATTTCAATTTAAGAGACAGGAATGCTGATTTCTGTCTGTCTAATCCTCTTCAATAAAATATAAGTGAGGTATTATGTATAGCTGGATAAGATTACCATGGGTTAACATAGCCTGAACTCTTCATAGCGGCAAGAGTAATACTTTGTATGCGTAACTGGCTGTTAACGCCCATTAGTGTTATGCTCAGAGTAACCAGCGTTTTGCAGATGTGCTGCTTCACCTGTTTCCCTCTGTTCACTCTTGCCTGCCTCCTCTCTTCTTCCAGCTGGAAGGGCACAACGAGGCAGTGACCCTGCAGGTGTTTGTAGGGAACGACTCTGGCCGGGTGAAGCCTCATGGATTCTATCAGGCCTGCAGGGTTATGGGTCGAAACACCACACCCTGCAAAGAAGTGGACATTGAAGGCACTACTGTCATTGAGGTGGGCCTGGATCCAAACAACAGCATGACCCTGGCGTAAGTCATATTCTCAGTTTATTATTTGTCTGTGTACTGCAGATACTCCCACTTTTGAAAATTCTAGCTGGTAACTTTTCAGGTGAGGTGTTTGATAGGCACAGACATCTGAGGGATGTTGAACATACATGGATATTGAACTTTGGGAGTTCTTCTCGTAACTGGCGCTGCACGTGAGCGAGAGCTGCCACCTCACTTCTGTGCTCGAGAGTGCTGCATGCAGGCGTGGCTGCCCTGCTTTTGTACAGTTTGGTGGAGGTGCTGAAGACAGGCATCTGCAAGCTCCTTCCTAGCAATTCCATCAGAGTAGTTGCCAGTGGAGAGTAGCCATGTGATGAAGGGAAATGTAATGTTTCCCTAGCAGTTTGTAGGAACTGGCTGTGACCAGTCTAGTCCAGCCTTCTGTTTCACGCAGCAGTGGACCAGTTGCCCTGGAGAGCCAAGCGACACAGTGGCCAAGGCCCCTTCCCTGATGTTGCCTCCTGGCACTGGGATTCTGAGGTTGACTGCCTCTGTATATGGAGGTTTCCTCTACTCACCATGGCTAGTAGCTGTTGATGGACCTCTTCTCCATGAATCTGCTTAACCCTCTTTTAAAGCCATCTTTGCTTGTGGCCATCACTAAGTCACTTGGCTGTGAATCCCACAATTTCATTGCTCACTGAATGTAAAACAGTATTTCTTTTTGTCTGTACCTATTGCCCATCAGCTTCATTGGGTGCTCCCGGCTTCTAGTATTATGGAAAAGGGAGGAAAAAGCTCCCTCTTTCCACTTTCTTCACCCCATGCATAATTTTAGAAACATCTGTCCTCTCTCCCCCGCCCCCCAGTTGTGGGTTTTTTCCTGAACCTAAAAAGTCCCAGGCTCTTCAGTCTTCCCTCATAGGAAAGGTTCTCCAGCACCTCGATGGTCTTGGTTGGCCTCTTCTGTACTTTTCCCAGCTCTGCATTGTCGACTGATAATTTTCATTTAGGTTGGTTTGTGTTATCCAAGGAAAATGCTGAAGGCCTACTTTGAATTCATGATACTGGCTTTGGCAAGATTTTCTAGTCTGGTTTTAACGCAATTGCTCCTCGAAGGCTCTTCTGGAAAATGCAAGTTTTCAGTGATGTTCTTCTGGGTCGACGGTTGCAAGATGATGCAGATGAAGGCTGAAAGCCTGTGTCAGAGGAGGGTGGGGGAGCTGCCAGGGAGCTGGCTCTGGCTGGCTGTGGATGTATCTGTGGTGGCAAGCCCAGACACGGGCCTCAGCTGTGCTGCTGCCAAAGGGGGCTTTTTGGTGCAGGGGTTAAGTGCGCGGACTCTAATCTGGGGAGAACCAGGTTTGATTCCCCACTCCTCCACATGCAGCCACTGGGTGACCTTGGGTCAGTTACAAGTTCTGTCAGAGCTGTCCTTGAAAAAAGAGCAGTTTCTGTCAGAGCTCTCTCAGCCCCACCTACCTCACAGGGTGTCTCCTCCTCCTCCTCCTCCTCCTCCTCCTTCTTCTTCTTCAACTAGGCTGCTGTCTGAAGCTAGCCAAGTATTATGCAATGAGGTGCTCACAGAGCTGGCCCTGATATGGCCACTCCTCTGATTGGCTGTGTCTGCTTTGCTGCGCACATAACGTAGGCCTGGCAGAGGACTCTGGGAAATGGCAGGTGTCTTGTGGCTTGGCTACTCTGAAGCAAACTATCCTGGAGTCTGGTGCCATCCACTCATTCAGCTAGTGGGATCTAGAGGGTGGTGATTGTAGTGGGCTAAGAGACCTGTGTTCAAATCCCTCCTGAGTTGTGGCTCTATCTGAGAGGATGGATCCAGCAGGGAGGTGTCTGCTGACAGAAGGGGTGTGTGTCAATTTTCACCACAGGCCACCAGCTCCTCCTTCATGCTGTCACCAGTGGGGTGGGGGTCATCCCTCATGAGCAGGGTTGGGGGGCCTTTGAGGTGGCATGCAGAGGGGGAAGGTGGAGGAGTTTCACTGTGGTGGTGGTCCTGTGCAGGATCCAAGCAGTACTTGGTCCACTGCTTTTTAACTTGTTCATTAATGATTTGGAGTTGGGAGTAAGCAGTGAAGTGAGGGGGAAGGTGGAGGAGTTTCACTGTGCTGGTGGTCCTGTGCAGGATCCCCTCCCCCAAAGGTTTTGTGTGATCTTGTGAACGTTGCTCTTCACAATTCTTGCAACTTCACAGATAACTTAAGCTATTTTCTGCTTTGACTATGGGTGTGCAGTCCTGTAAAATAAATCTGTAGTTTGCATTTTTATTTTTACTTATTATTTGGGTGTCCCATTGGCTTCTGACAGGTAACAGGACCACTTTGCCCAGTTCTCTCTCTTTTCCTGGAAGGGAATTTTTTTGCAGTGCTTGGCGAATGTAGGAGACAGAACAGCCTCGCATTTCCTGTTTCTCTCTAGCTGTCTTCCTTCGCCCTGCACGGTGAGGTGCACAGGGTATCATACTGGAAATCTGTACATCTGTCTGGGCAAGAGGAAGGCGGAGAAGGACCCAGAATTAATGCTCCCTCTAAGCTGTGGAAGTCTTGTGAGCAAAGATTCTACTTTGTGAGCTACTGGCATTAAAGTTGTGAGCCAGCCATTTGGCTACTGCCTAAATTAGTTTGCTCTGGAGCCCTCCTTCCTGAGCTGAGACAAAAATGTGTGAGCCAGAGGCTAAAAAACTGTGAGCTAGCTCACACTAACTCAGCTTAGAGGGAACACTGCCCAAAAGATCTGCTGTAGATGCTAAAGAAATATTTCAGTTGAGAAGCTGGTTTGATAATGAGAGCCTGACCCACTGACAAATAGGTCCTGTAGGCACTGTGGAGTGTCCACGCCTTCCTGCATCTGCTTCAGGCATCAGGGAGATGCAAAGCAGTCCTGGAACCATGACTGGTTGCTGCAGTGATGAGCACTCAGCCAGCAGGGTTGCCTTGCCCGGGTGACTTTCCCTCTGCCACCTGTTGGCCAGGTTAAATTGCATCTGTCCCTTCAGTTGCACTGCTGATACCTCAGCTGGGCCCAAAGTACTGTTTTGCTTTTTATGAAGACAGTTATTTTTTGTTAGCTGCCGTTGAGGGGGGGAAAGCAAAGCAGCTGGCGTTTTGTCCACAGCCCCCTCAGGCCTTGAATATCTGCACTGGCAGGATTTGGGCTATGTGTGGCTGAAATCGTTGCTCTTAGTAGGTGGGGCGGGTTGATGGTGATTGCAGTGTGAGAGGCAGTAGCCATTGGAACATATAGCAGGCTGCTTATTCGTGGCTGGAGTTTAGGATTCTCCGGTCATGGCTCTTGGGTGCATCCACACCAGCTGCAATTCAGTGGCATCTAGCTGAAATGTTCTTCTCTCACACTGCAGTCATTGCCAGAGAAATATGCTTGTGTGCAATATGTCAAGAGCCTCCTGATGTTCTTTGGCTTGATCACGCTGACCTCTTGATGCTCCAGGGTAGAAATCCTCGGAGTGGAGGCTCAGTTGGTGGAAACAGCTAAGTTTGCAGCAGCCAGTGAATTGGATCTAGTCTAAGGAGGGAAGGGGCAGTTCCCACCCATTCCCCCTCGCCCCCAGGAGCAGCATTTCATGGAGACACGTGGGAAGGGAGAGGCAGAAAAGTTCACTTCCACTGGAAGATGTAGTCTAGACCTAGGCCCGTAGATTCTGGTTTTGCTGCTTCTAAAAGTTCAGTGTTCTTAATGTCCGTTTAACCTAAAATGTTTAATGTGCAAAGTAACGGACTGCCATCTCCTCCCCCTGAACTCCTCTGGTAGGTTGCTGGCAGGGATTGAACTGCCCAAGGCCAGCCAAAGTTTGTGTGAGCAGCAGGGATTTTAAGCAACATCTGCCCTCTTCAGAATGAAAACTGTCTCTCTGGTTATAGTTGTTACAGCCCCCAGAGACCAGGTGACTTTTTGTGGCTGCTCTGATTGTCTTTGTGGCAACAACTCTGGCTCAAACATCAAGGTTTTGGCTGGAGATCTGGGAAGCTTTCTTCCGTCTGTGTATTCACAAGGAAAACCCCATGTTAGTAATGCTACTCTTCTGTTGTGCCAGGGTTGACTGTGTAGGAATCCTGAAGCTGAGGAATGCTGATGTCGAAGCACGAATAGGCATTGTGGGCTCCAAGAAGAAAAGCACTCGAGCAAGACTGGTGTTCCGCGTTAACATCCCTCGGAAGGATGGCTCCACTCTGACGCTACAGACACCGTCCACCCCAATTCTGTGCAGTAAGTAGCAAAGACAAGCAGTGCCGTGGGCTAGTTACACGCCTTATCAAACCAAAGTTTGAGTCCGGTAGCACCTTTAAGACCAACAAAGTTTTATTCAAGGTATAAGCTTTTGCGTGCACGCAATCTTCTTCAGATATAGTGAAATGGAACTCACCAGTCCATACATACAGGTAGAGAGTGAGCAGTAAATTAGCATACAGCATAATGAAAATGTTTAACAGATTCAAGGACCAAACAGAAGTAACAAGCTTAGTTTATATGGTTACTGTTTGTTTGGGTTTAATTCGGGTGTGTGTGTGGGGGGAGACATAATGAAGGAAATAAATATGTCAAAATTGGAGATTGATGGGCAGGTTTATCCACACAGCATCTGTGTGGAAAGGATCTCAGCTCCCTTGGACCTCCTGGAGACGTTGGAGAAGAGTGTAGTTGCAGCCGGAGGACGTTGTGCCTGCACTTCTCCTGCAGAAGAGAACCGTCCCCCTGGCTTGAGGCAGGTGGCTTCTTTACTGAGAAATATTTATTAGCTGTTGGAGGCAAACTAATGGGTGTAAGATACTTTATTTTATTTATTTATTTATTTGGATTTGTATCCCGCCCTCCCCTTGACGGGCTCAGGGCGGGTTCCAACAATTTGCATACAGTACAACAATATAAAATTCAATACAATGAAAACCACGTTAAAACATGTGAAACATACTTCTAGGCAAAATAATTGACCCCTGTCTAGTGGCATTTAGAAATCTGCCAAAACATAACTTCAAAGGGAAAATGAGTGCCCCCAACCAACCAGTAGGTATGGTGAAGTCCTCTTTGTTGCTTGGTTTTTGAAACTTGCACTAGGCAGTTTCCAGAGCAGAGATTCCATCTCGTTTCGCTGGCCTTGTGTGACTTAATGGCGAGGCCTGTGATACCTCGCCAACTGTATTAATAATGAAATTGTTTTTTGTAGTTTTAACTGTATTTTATGTACTGACTGTGAGCCGCCCTGAGCCTGCATTGCAGGGAGGGCGGGGTATAAATGCGATAAATAAATAAATAAATGATGGTTCTTGTATATTCTGCATCAGCTGCCAGGAGGAATTATCACTGATGCAAGCAGGCTTTTGGACCTGAAAAGTATCTTGCTCAAGCAGAGTGTTCTACAAGTCAGTGATGCTCTGTTTTTCCTTGTGCAGTGCTGTACAACAGCACTCGTTTTCCTTATGGAGAACTTTGGGAATGTTTCTCGCTGCTCTCCCGCTCTTAATTGAGGCGCCTCTCTTTTCACCTCATAGCTCAACCAGCAGGTGTGCCAGAGATCCTAAAGAAAAGCCTGCACAGTTGCTCTGTGAAGGGGGAAGAGGACGTCTTCCTGATCGGCAAGAACTTTCTGAAGGGAACCAAAGTGATCTTCCAGGAGAATGTGTCTGGTGCGTCCCCAAGATGGAGCAGGGGGTGGGGGCAAGATGGAAGTAGTTGTGCTAGTGGGTAGCCATGGAATCTGCTGGGTCACACCACTGCCTGGGCAGTCTACAAATAAGCTTTGTCTTTGCGCTTTCCTTCCAAACAGATGAAAATTCTTGGAAAGCAGAAGCAGAAATTGACATGGAGCTATTCCATCAGGTATTTGCTTTCTCGTGTGCTTGGGATACAGTTCTGTTTTTGCTCCTGAATGTATTCTTTTAAAATTGATTAAAAGAATCCTGTTATCATATATCCGGAAGGCTCTCAAAAAGTCCCCAGATTTGCCCTGACCTGGATAGCCCAGGCAAGCGCATCTCGTCAGATCTCGGAAGCTAAGCAGGGTTGACCCTGCCTAGTACTTGGATGGGAGATCCCCTTGGAGTACCAGAGGTGGGGGCAGGCTTTATTCAGCCACCTCTCTGAATATCCTCCAGGCCCCCGGTTGGGATCATCCACCAGAGATCGCCATGACTTCCAGGTGCACACACACATGCATACATATGCACATATATAAAAAAATACCAAAAAAGTCCCTATATTTGATTTTTTTGAGATAAGAGGTCCGTTTATTTCCAAAGCTCTCTTCGTGTGGTTGATTGTTTTTCCGTAACTTGTCTCCCGTGCCACCAGACTCCTCTTCCATGACTCTTGCTTTACTGAGACCCTTTTTCTGGTGCTGGGGGCTCGTTCTGGGGTTCACGAACCCCTCTAGACGCTGCTCCTATAGGAGTGGTTCATCTGTTTGCTTCCCTGTGGCTTTTTCAGCGCAGCAGTGGCAAAAAGAGGTGGCACCTCAGGTCGCTCAGTGTGGCGGCCAAGTCTGGTGCCAAGGCCACGCTTTCGGTTCCCCTCCCTTATCCACATTGGTGCCTTCTCCCAGTGATGCCCCTGCTTGCCCTGAGCCCCAGGCCAGCCAGTATTTTGGTAGGTGGCTTGTTGGAGGAGAGGAATAAGCCATAGCGACAGTCGGGAGGGAGGCACCATGTTGATGTTCTTTGGCCATCCGTTTGCTTCATTTATATTCCACCTTTCTTCCCAATGGGGACCCAAAGGAGTTTCCATCATTCTCTTCTCCTCCATTTTATCCTCACAACAACCCTCTAAGGTGACCTTTCCTCCATTTTATCCTCACAACAAGGTGACCCGGCAAGCTTCCCTAGCAGTGTTGGGACTCACACTTGGGCCTCCCCGATTCCAGTCCAACACTCTCGTCCTTGCCCCACGCGATATGCCCTATCACATGTGTACATGCTCTGCAGTGGAAAGGGCAGAGACGGCAGGGAGAGGAAGAGCAGGCAAAGCAGAGGGTGCTCCAGAGAGCCACCTGTGATCGGGGGCAAATGCCGCCAGCCATCTTAAGGCCGAGTCGAAAAGATGTTTCAACAGAGGCACAATCCCCACCCCACCCTGATTTTGTGGGTTCCCTTTTACCTGGTCTGGACGGATCTCGCAGTGGTGTTCTCACTCTTGGTGTTGCAGTTGTAAGGCTCTTTAGATTTGTTTTAATGGGACTCTCTTTCTGGATACAGAACCATGTCATTGTGAAGGTGCCACCATATCATGACCAGCAAATAACTGCACCTGTTTCCGTGGGAATCTATGTGGTGACCAATGCTGGGAGATCGCATGACATACAGCCATTTACGTACACTCCAGACACAGGTATGGATAAAGGACTGACACTGTGGAAGGGGGCCTTGGCCCAGTACTTCTGGACAGCCTCTCTTCTCTTTAAGACCACAAGAGCTGTGCTGGATCAGACGAAGGGCCTGTCCAGCCCAGCTTTCTGTACATACAGTGGCCAACCGTCTGCCAACAGGAAGACCACAGCAGCATGGGGAACCAAGAGGCACCGTGCCTCTGGTAGTGGAGGGAGTAGAAACCCATCATGATCAGTAGCCATCGATCAGTAGCCCCATCCTTCATGGATTTGTCCACTCCCCTTTTAAAGCCTTCCAAGTTGGTGGCCGTGACCACATCCTGTGGCAGCGAGTTCCACAAATTAACTATATACTCTGTGAAGAAGTACTTCCTTTTGTCTGAGTAGCTCCCACCTTTCCGCTTCAGTGGATGATCCCGGCTTCTAGTATCATGATAGAGAGAGGAAACCTTCCCTCTAGAGCTTCTCTGTAACGTCTGACAGGAACCAAAGCAGCGGCTCTGGCAGCACCTTCTTTGCCCCGTGCCCCTGCTGTTGCTCAGCTGGGGCGTGCTTCTGGGGAGGCTGCCCCGCCCTCTTTGGTGCTTGGAGGGAAGAGACTGAGGGCCTGGCTGGCCTTCTGTCAAAGCCAAGCCTTGACCCGATGGCACTGATTTGCCCCGTGCCCCTGCTGTTGCTCAGCTGGGGCGTGCTTCTGGGGAGGCTGCCCCGCCCTCTTTGGTGCTTGGAGGGAAGAGACTGAGGGCCTGGCTGGCCTTCTGTCAAAGCCAGGTCTTGACCCGATGGCACTGACTTCCTTTTTGCAGGGGCTAATTATTATGGGGGACGCTTAGGCTTTTGAAATAAGCCTTTCCGCCTTGTCTCGGAAACCTCTTGCTTCATCTCTTTTGAAAGTCGGTGGTGTCTTTCCTTGCCTCTGCAGCCGGTGCTCTGAACATTAGCGTGAAGCAGGAGACCGCCAGCCCAGCCCAGCCCTGCTCTTTTGACGAAGCCGTCACAGGTATCTGACTTGTAGCAAATGGGTTCCGGAGGCTGTTTTAATTTACAGCAACTTCCTGCAGACTTTCAGGGGAAGTTTTGCATCCCACTCCCAATTCAGGCCCTTACCTCCATTTGATCTTTTTTACTCTCTGTCTGCCATGATGAAATGACGGTGGCATTGACTCCTCAGAACATCAGAGGTGCCAGGCAGTCAAGGCCTAGAGGCCAAGGCAGCACCCTGATGCAAGCCCTGGTATTCAGAGGTTTGAATATGGAGGGTTCCCTTCAGTCATTGTGACTGGTATCTATTAATGGACCTCTCATCCATGGATCTGTCCAACCTGCTTTTAAACGCTATCCATTCTTGTGGCCATTGCTGCGTCCAGTAGTAATCAATCTATAGGTCAATTGCTCATTGAGTAAGGAAGTAGTTCCTTTTGTCTCTCATGAATCTGTTGTCCATCACCTTCATTGAGTGCTCATGAGTTCTAGTATTGGGGAGGGGGTATGGCTCAGTGGAAGAGCCTCTGCTTTGCATGCAGAAGGTCCCTGGTTCAGTCCCCATCATCTCCCATTAAAAGCACCAGCCAGGAGGTGATGGGAAAGACCTCTGCCCGAGACTCTGGAAAGCAGCTGCCAGTCTGAGTGGACAATGCAGACCTTGATGCACGAACAGTCTGATTCAGTATAAGACAGTGTCATGTGTGTCAGTATTATGGGGGAGGAAGAAAAACCTCTATCCGCTTTCTGCACCCTGTGCATGCATAGTTTTATAAACTTCTGTCATGTCCCACCCCTTAGTTGCTTCCCCACCCCAAACTTCAAAGGCCCAGCCTCTCTAACCTTTCATCACTGGAAGGGTGCTCCAGTCCCTTGATTGTCTTTGTTGCCTTCTCCACACTTTTTTCCAGCTTTGCAGTTACCTTTTCTAAAAAGCAGCAGCCAAAACTGCAGGCAGTATCCCAAATAAGTCCTCGCCATAGATCTATTCAAGGGCATCACAATATTGGCTTTTCTGTTTTCAGTCCCTTTCCTAATAATCCCTAATATGGGGCTTGCCCTTTTCACCCCTGCCACACGGAGTCAGCATTTACATCCTAATGTTACTCATCTGCTTGCTGGCTAGTCTGGTGCTTGTAAGTGGAGGTTTTAATCTTTCTTCCATGTGTTCTTCACAGGATCATTTCTGTAACAAAGTAAAAAATTCCTGAAAAGCTTTACTTTACTTCCTTTACTCATTGTTACTTTACATCCCTTGGTATAAGAACGTGTGTGAAAAGAGCTGATTTCCCAAGATGCTGTTTAGTGTGATAGTACAGAGCAGTGAAAGCTAAAGGATATCTCCCCATCCCAGTCATGGTCTCTTGTGGCCCTGGGTGGCAGCTCATTTTCTGTGTTTCTACCTGCAGTGAATCCCAGTGGCTGCAACTTGGAGAAGGTAAATATCCTTCCCAGTGCCCTGATAACTCCACTCAGGCCAAGCAGCGGGATCAAGAGTGAAGAGGCTGCTCCAATGGAACTTGCGGCTGAGAAACCATCTCCTCCGGTCTTTAAGGTAAGTGGATGCTTCTGCATTCTCAGGTGTTCGTTATGGACAACATTAGCAGCAGCAAGAGGTGCATATGAAGCACACATGTAAGCTGACGAAACAAGCAAAGTAGAAATCTGAGGAGTGGATTGCTTAAAAAAAAAAAAAAGACAAGCATTTCTTCAAATATATCAGCAGCCGGTTGGGCCATGAGATGACAAAGGGATGTAAGGATTGCTTAGGGAAGCTGGTGAGATGGTAGAGAAACTGAATGAATACTTTGTGTTGGTTTTCACTGCAGAAAATGTGGGTCACCTTACCTGCATCAGTGCCACTGCTTCTGGTAAGTCTGAAGAATTAGGTAAAATTGAGGTGATGAATGATGAGGTTTTAGGACTGCTAGGGAAACTAAAGTCTCCAGGTCAAAGTGGCTCACACCCAGAGATCCTTAAGGAACTCAGATACAACATTTTTGATCTGCTAACCAGCATATGTAACTCATCACTAAAATCAGCCTCTGTGCTCAACAACTGGAAACTGGCAAATGTCACACTGCTTTTTAAAAAGGGGTCCAGAGTCTCACAATGCAAGTTAAGTCTACTCTTGAGGAATGGACCAAATTAAACCTGACTCTTGTAGAAAAAGTTTTGCTTTTTAAATCAATTTTATTACCAAAATTTCTTTTCCTATTCCAAAACTTACCTGTTTTGTTGACATTTAATGATTTTAAAACCTGGAGACAATATTTACAGAGTTTCTTATGGTCAGGTGAAAGGGCGAGAATTAACTTTGCCACCTTAACTAGGCCAACTAGATTAGGGGGGTTGGGACTCCCTGATCTAGAAAAATATTGTATAGCCTCCTAATTAAAAGTCATACATTATTATGCTATACCATTTTGTGCCAAACCTTGGCTTCAGATGGAAAAGATGGATTTGCTCCCAGCTCATCTCCACAAATTTTTATGGATCCCATCTAACCTTGGAAACATCTTAAAACTAACCAACCCTTACTTAAGGTTTACTTTGCAATTATGGTGTAAGTATAGACATCTTTTAGTGCCAGGACTTTCTCCTATTGCAGCCCTTTTAGGACAGCCATGGTTTCCTCCAGGTGCAGAAAACACTTCCTTTTGAACATAAGAAATAAAGGGATCTTCAGAATCTGTGACTTCATCTTTAATGGTAATATAGGGACACAACAACAGATTGAAACAAAATACGGTATAAAAATCTCATGGCTGCAACACTTTCAAATTTACCACAAGCTAATTATTTTTTTAAAAACAATATCCTAGTTCAAAAGGTTTACTGGCAATCATTTATAGCCTACTTAACACTAAGTCATAGACAGAAATATCTACAATTCAGAAGGCATGGCATAAGGAATGCAATCCTGAATTAACTGATAATCAGTGGCTAGAAATCTGGAACTCCTGTATGTTTCTTACTAAATCCACAAATCTAAAACTGCAACATTCAAACTATATGCGAGGTGGTACCTCACCCCAGAACTTTTATTTAAATGTAAATATAAGACCACTCCCCTTTGTTGGAAGGGATGTGGCAACCCTGGAACACTTACTTACTGCTGGTGGGCATGTCCTAGAATCAATACTCTTTGGGAAAAGGTTCTGGAAGAAATGAGAAAGATTACAGGCCATAAACTGCCTAACTCTCCTGAGTCTCTTTTGTTACACTATTGGCCTAAAATAACCCTGACCAAACAGACCTCTGAATTATTACCATTACTACTAATGGCTGCTAAATATCTCATAGCACAAAATTGGAAATTGAATAAGATACCTACTTTGACACACTGGAGAGCAAAAGTATGGGACAGCCTCTGATAAACTGCCGACTCAGCTCCTTGTATTTGATAACCCGATAAGAGTAAACGACTTTATGGACAAGTGGTTTATATTCTTTGAATATGTGTCTTCACACCAAAAGCAGGCTTATAAGCTACCTCAAAAATATAGGGATTTCGCGTTCTATTAGTAAGCTACGTTATACTCCTCTAGGCTGCATTAGGTGAGTTTTCTTTTCATTGGTTGTTGGTTGTGGTTTGTTGATTTATTGTTGTTGGTTGTTTCTTACTGAGACCCTACCTTGAGTTGAATTATATAGTGTTTATCAATGTTGTTGTTCATCTGACTGCTATTAATTGATAATGATAATAATTTTTTGAATAAAGTATATTTTTCTTGATGCAAAATAAAATAAAAATATTAATTGCAAAAAAGGGGGGGGGGGTTTCCAGAGGGGATCCAGGGAATTACGTGCCAGTTTGCTTAACTGCAGTTTGCTTAATTCTTCTGTGTAAATTAGTAGAAACTGTTATTTAAGATAACAGTTCTTAAGCATATTGAGGAACAAAGTGTGCTGGAAAATGAATCCTGTTGAACAGGTTAATGAGTAAGTAGACAAGGGCGATCCAGTAGACATCCTATAGCTAGACATCCAAAGAGCTTTTGACAGGGTATCTCATCAGAGATGGCTGAATGAGCTCAGCAGTCATGGGATAAGAGGACATGTCCTCTTTAAACAAGAGGAAGCAGTTCTCGCAGCAGAGGGACGTGAGCAGCAGGGTTCTGCAGGATCTGTGGTGGGACTATTTGATTTGTTAATAAATGATCTGGGATTAGCAGTGAGCAAGCTGGAAAAAGTAAAGAAAAGGGAGGCAAGGGTTGGAGCACCTTTCCTAGGAGGAAAGGCTGAAGAGTCCGGGACCTTGCAGTTCAGAGAAGAAGACAGGAGGGGGAGGGGGCGATGGAGGTGCATACAGTTCCGCCTGCAGCAGCAGATGTGTGTGTGTGTTACGTGCCATCAGGTTGCCTCTGACTGAGGCAGCCCTGTGAACAAATGACCTCCAGAGCGTGGTGTCACTGCTCAGGCTTGCTCATGCAGTGGCCAAGAGAGTATTTTACTGAAACCTGGTAGGAAAACAGAAGGAAATGGTTACTTAATGGGTAGCTAAACTGCAGGAGTCACTCTGCCGGTGGGCTTAGTGGTTGCCTGAGCCTAGATGGCCTTGAATGTGAGTTAGACAGAGTCTTGGAGGATGGGTCCATCAATGGCTACTGGCTGTGGTGACGGAAGAGGACCGGAGCATCCAGTCCGCTTCTGGAATCCCAGTCCCAGGAGGAGGCGGCGGCGGCAGCTGGGAAAGGCCTTGGCGTCTATCACCTAGCTGTTGGCCCTCCAGGAAATCCAGCTCAGCCACTCTGTGGGGCAGGATGCTGGACGAGATGGGCCTCTGGCCTTGATCCAGCAGGGCTGCTCTTGTGTCGCTTCACTCCACTGGACTCTAGAGCCCTGCCCAACTAGACGCTGGTTCAAATGCCTTCCTGAATTGGGTCCAGGCAGCCGTGTGTGAAAGGGGTGGCCTTTTTCCAAGAAGACCTTTACGGGTGGGTTGTGCCTTTCCAGACACTGTCCACGTGCACCTTTGGCATAAATACCTGCTGTTTCATCACTTAAGGCAAATCAGGCATAGCCCTTCACGCTTTCGGCCTTGAGCTTGGAGCAAGGAAGGTACCAGGCAAGCATGCCATGTCGCGGTTGTGTGGTGATGAGCTCTGAGTTGGTGAGGTCTTAAGAAACAGAAGGCAACAGTCCAAACTGTCTTGTGCTAACTACTTCCATTTGTTTACATAATTCACACTGAGTGCTTCGCCAGACACCACGTTTGGAAGCAGAGAGAAACAGTACAGTCCATTCACAGTTCTATACATATCAGCACAGAACAAACACCAGTCAGCATTCAATGCTGAGTCATTGTGCACAGGCATTCTTGCTCTGGTCAGAACCGGTATGAACTAGCTAACGTAGCTGTCATGAACTGTCAATTAGATCACCAGCCTGGTGTCTTATCAAGCAACACTTTTATATGCTGACATGTTAACGTGTGAACATTCTGCTGTGTTTCCCGCTCCAGGCAGGCAGCATAGTTGGGCCTTCTTCAGCGGCGCTGGAGAGCAGCCTGCCCACCATGCTGGGAAGTGGCACTTTCTCCTCCTCGGCTTCTCACTTGGCCTTGGCTTCGGAGGGTGAACAGCAGCAGCTGCAGCCCAAAGCGTATGCTCCAGAGGGGATGCCCAGCCTCCAGACGCAAGACATCGCCCAGCCGGGCAGCTTCCCAGCCGCCTCGGCTCCCGGCCAGCTGCAGAACAGTGACGCCTTGTTGCAGCAGGCAACTCAGTTCTCCTCGAGGGAGGCCCCGCCAGACCCTGCCGCGATGACCCTGTCTCAGTTGGCCGAGGCTTCCCAGCAGCAGCAGCCCCCCCTGCAGGAGTCGGCCCAGGCCCTGCAGCAGCAGCAGCAGCAGCAGATCTCGTCCACCATGTTCTCCTCGGCGGAGGGGGTGAGTCAGCTGCAGAACACCATCCAGCAGCTGCAGGCGGGGAACTTCCAGCCCAGCGCTGCTGGCAGCGGAGGAAGTGGGAGCGTGGACCTGGTCCAGCAAGTGCTGGAAGCTCAGCAGCAGCTGTCCTCCGTTTTGTTTTCTGGCTCGGACAACGAGGATGTTCAGGAACAGCTCAACGTAGAGATGTTCCAGCAGGTCAGCCAAATGCAGAACCGTGTTAGCCCGGGGATGTTTCCCTCCTCAGAGTCGGCCTGTTCGAGAGCAGAGGACCTTCTCTCCGGGAGGACCGAGAGCGCCCGCCAGCAGCCCGAGAGCTCTTTGTCCAGCCAGCAGCAGGCCATGGAGACCTCTGCAGCGATGGTGCTGGAGATGCAGCAAGGCCTCTGCCAGGCTGCCGGCCAGATGCAGCCGGACCTGTTCTCCTCCTCTACCACCTCCTCGGGAAACGGAAGCCTCCAGCAGCCTCCTGTGTACCAGCAAGCTTCCCACATGATGGGTGGGCTGTCGGCCTCAGAAGACATGCAGATGCAGTGTGAGTTGTTCTCTCCAGCCAATGTGTCTGGCAACGAAGCTGCTACCCCACCCCAGCAGCAGGTCTCTGCCGGCGGACCCACTTTGTTTCAGTCTTCTGGCTCCGCTGAGAACGAAGAGGCCTCAGGCCAGGCCGAGCAGATGCAGAACACCGTCTTTCAGGCCATGGTCCAGATGCAGCACAGCGGAGAGAGTCAGTCTCAAGTCAATCTGTTCCCTTCCTCCGAGAACATGATGGCCGTCCAGGGTGGCGGGACGCAGCAGCCAGGGGGAGCCCTGTTCCAGCAGAGTGGGGAGATGATGTCTCTGCAGACCGGGAGCTTTCTGCAGCAGGCTCCCCACTCCCAGGCACAGCTTTTCCATTCTCAGGGCCCGATGGGAGATGCCCAGAACATCTCGCAGGAAACCCAGGGCTCACTCTTTCACAGCCAGAGCACTTCCTCTTCCTCTGAGCAGTTGCAGCCTCCAATGTTTCACTCCCAGAGCAACATGGGAGTCCTGCAGAGCAGTTCGGTTGTGCAAGACCAGCAGCCGAGCAGCATGTTCCTCACCCAGAGTTCCATGAGTGGCTCTGTCACGCAGGAGGAGCAGATGCCATTCTTCGCCACCCCGAGCGCCATTTCTTCCCTGCAGACATCTGCGAGTGCCGAGCAGCAGCCCTCATTCCAGCAGCAGCAGCAGCAGCAGCAAGCAGCTCAGCTCTCCCACCTCCAGGGCCCTCTGCTTTCCCAAGAGCAACCCCAGAACCCGCAGCAGGGCCTGTTCCAGCCGCAAGTGTCCCTCGGCTCCCTCCCTCCCTCTGGGGTGTCCCCAAGCCAGCAGGGGGCCATGTTCCAGTCCTCACACTCACTCGTGGCTCTTCAGAACAGCGCCTCAACTCAAGAGCAGCAGCAGCAGCAGCAAAATATGCGGTTCAGCAGTCAGAATTCCCTGGGCCCAATGACGTCTCAAGAGTCCAACATGATGTTCAGCGCCAGTCCCGGCTCGATGGCCAGCCAGGAGCAGCAGCAGAGCCAGTCTCTCTTTCACCCCCCAACTGGCATGAATCAGGAGCAGCAGCCCATGCAGTTCCAGAGCCAGAGACAGGGCTCTGCCCAAGCCGAGCCACAGCAGCCCACCTTGTTCCACAGTTCTCCCCAGATGCAGCTGGTCCAGGGCTCGCCCGGCTCTCAAGAGCAGCCGGTCACCCTCTTCATCTCTTCCGCTTCCATGTCTGCCTTGCAGAGCAGCATCAGCCAGCAGGAGCTGCAGCAGCCCTCCCTCTACTCTTCCCAGGGCAGCATGGCCAACATCCAGAGCACTTCGTCACCCCCCCAGCAGCAGCAGCAGCAGCAGCAGGCGGCTTTGTTCCACAACACACACAGTGGTGCCCTCAACCAGCTGCAGAACTCCTCAGCTTCATCTCAGCAGACATCTGGGATATTCCTCTTCGGCATCCAAGACAGTAAGTATGGAGGGCCTGGAACTGGGCTTGTACACAGTCGCATCTGGACAGGCCAAGCCAAGGAACACCCAGTCGTAAAATGTGCCAAAGTGTTACCTCCAGGCTTTCACCGTAGAGCCTGCGTGGCTCAGTGGTAGAGCATTTGCTTGGCAGGTTCAGTCTCTGGCAGCATCACATCTCTAGTTAAAAAGGACCAGGCAGGAGGTGACGGGAAAGACCCTTTTCTGCCTGGGACCCTGGAGAGCTGCTGCCAGTCTGAGTAGACAATGCTGACCTTGAAGGACCCAGGGAGTCTGAGTCAGTAGAAGTCAGCTTTGTGTGGGTGTCCAAGGGCCTAACCTTTGGGGTAGCAGCCCTTTTGGCACAGGTGCCAATTTCTGTTTGAGGGTAGTAGAAAAGGAGTGGAAGCCTCCAGGCGGGCGCTGGCGACAGAGAATCCTCCGGGTGGCTGCTCTGGATCTGTCCTCAGTCTCTGCTTCATTCTGAATGTCTTAATCTGTGAACTCTCCCTCTGCCGGTGTCCTGGAGCAGGGCTGTGGGAGCATCTCTGTGTGCCTCTATGGCACGATCTTGGATACAGGGCCTGGTGAGGAGGGGCTCCTTTGAACAGGCAAGGGTGCCTGCGTGCATCAGGGTTCGGACACAGACAGGTACAGGAGAGTGAGCGGGAAGTCTTGTGGGTGTTTCACAGAGGAGACGCAGGATGCGCTTCTTCCCTCTTGACACCTGGGGCTAGTTCCGTGCCTGGGGGAGCAAGGGCTGGTCGGGCGGGACAAGGGTTCTGCCCAGGGATGGGGTGCGTGCTGCAGAGCGGCTGCTGGTCTTGCCCGAGAGACTGGAGCTCAGTGACGAGGCGCGGCGTATTCCAAATGCATACCACTTGTCTTCCTCCACAGACTGTGGCCAGCTCTTAACATCTGGACCAGCTGCCATGTCAGATCAGATGCTCTCCATCAGTCAGCCACAGGGTGAGGCTCAGCAGTCTGTCACAACGCTCCTCTCTCAGCAACTGTCGGAGAGCACCCAGCTGCCTTCCGCCATGACCCCCAATCAGAGCATGAAGAAGATCGATGACCTGCTGGTGTCTCTCCAGAACCAGGGGAACAGTAATATGGCCGGCTCCTTCTAATGGCCTGGGGTAAGTTGGAGATTTGGGCAAGGCTCTTTCTCTGCCCGGGACAGGATGGTTCTCGTTCTACCCAGGTGAGGAGCAGCCATCCTGAGGACAGATTGTCTGAGCTTTGATGGCGCTTGGCCTCTCCTGGTTTCGTTGGCTCCCAATGCAGCTCCACGAGTCTTTCTCAGTTTGTGGCTTGTTGGGAACATTGCCCACAAAGGACGCCTGAGCCCCGTCGAAGGTTGGGAGACCCGGGAGACTTCAGGATCTCTGCTTTCCCACCCAGCCTCTCTCCTGTCTCGTTTGGGTTCCGTTTCAGTTGGTCCAGTCTCAGCCATTTGAGCAGTCAGGGCGTAGCACACCTCCTGCCCCCCAGTGTCCAAAGGCACTTTGACCGCGATTGTTCCAAGAAGATCACGCTTAACGACTTTTGGGGGAAACAGCAAGCGAAAGGGGGAGGGGAACAGACGCCTGGTGAATAGAGGGCAATGTTGTGTGGACGGTCCCAGAAACAGCAGTGCCGTAAGGGAAGGAGTGCAAAGTATAGTTGGGCGGCAGAGAGGTGGAGTAGCTAGCAGGGGTCAGGGGCCAGCTTGTCTGTCAGTCTTCAGCAAGGGAGGGGGGAAGAGGCAGTGTTGGTGGCTGTGAAGAGGCAGAAGTGTTTAAACTCGGCGGCCCTTGTCCTTTCTCACCCCCACACTCCCGCTTACCATTTCAGAAGCGCCCTGATGGGAAAGGAGACTGGGAAGATCCCTTCAGCTCTTGTGACTATTGGATGTTTGGAGTCAAATCCCCCCTCTCAAAGGATCACCTGGACCCCAGGCCAAACGTAGCCTCCACCCCACTTTTGCAAGTGCACCCACATTGAACCGCTGGGTAGGAGCCTCGGGAGAGAAGCTGAAGAGCTCCACTTTGCTGTGCCCAGGCCCGGGCGGTCCGCCTGTCTCGAGCCCTGCTGGGGGGACGCAGAGCCGGGCTGTTCAGGGGCCACTGCTGCTGGGCAAGGGAAGCGCGCTCCGGTCCGTCCTTCCCTTCCTTTCTTCACAGCCACTGGAGCTCCTGGGGATGGGCCCCGTGTATCTTTCTGTTACTCCAGATCCTGATCTGGCCGTCTCTGATGACGACAGGTCCCGTGGTTGGCAGCTGCAAGTGGAAATGGTTTCCACTGGACCAGGCGAGGCAAGAGGAGCGTTGCAGCAGCCAGCGGGGGGGGGGGGGGGGACGCGCGACAGTGACACGACAGGACTGATGGCGGTTCCTGGGCTTCTCTCCTGGGTGTTTGGGCAGGAACTGAGAGGGCGGAGTGGCACTGCTCAGAAGGCTTGTGCGACGTAAACCTTCCTCTTGGGGTGGGCTGGTGGGGGGGACAGTTTGCTGAGGTGAGTCAACTTGAAAGCCTAAATTAGGATATCAGCAGAATTTCCTTCCTCATAGTTACCGCTCTGTCCCTTTCCTGTTGAATATGCTGCCACCTGTAGAAACCCAGCTTTTGAGGAGGTCAGCAAGCTGCTACGGGGCGGAAGGCTGAAGTTGCCCCCTCGGTCTGCGGAGGGAGGGGAGGAGTTCTGGGCAAGCTGGTTTCTGCCTCCCAATCCCTTTTCCACTTGGTGCTGGCATGAAGTCTAAAATGTAAGCCCAGACAGGTGGCCTGGGGTTCATCAGAGGCAGGAGAGGTGCCGGGCCCACCCTGGTGTCACGAGTCTCTGCCCAGTTCAGCCTGAAAGGCCGATCCTCTTGGGCAGGGGGCGGCCTGTTTCCAGGGCCCTCGCCACAGCCCCCTGCTTGGATTTAGCCCCACCCCCCCGTTAGTCACTGTTAGTGGCATCTGTCAGGGGTGTGGGTGGGTGTGGGTGTTTTTTAGCCCCCCCTAGTTTTCTTTTGTGTTCCTTGTGTACAGAGAAGAGCTTGGCCTAGACACGATCTGATGGGCTCCCCCCCCTCCCCCCGGTATGTGTTTTCTGACTCGTGTGCTGCCTTGAACGGTGTAGAATCGTGCTTGGGTTTCTTGTTCTCCCTGTCGTCTGTCTCTGGTGTCTGCCGTTGGTCTGTCTGTCTCTCCTTGAGAGGCCTCCCTTGCGTCGTCGTGTTTTCAGTAGTACAGGCTATTTTGCCGATATGAAGGGAACTTTTCAGAAAGAGACCTGCTCTGGGTCATTTAATTTTGAATACAGTTTTCAATCGTTCAAGTTTTGGATGGTTTATATCTAATGTGTGTTTCATTTTTTTGGAAAGCTCTATTTTGTATTTAGGAAATGGTAAACTATTTTGCTCTTTGTACTGACTGAGTACATTGGCATAAATATAAAATATATATATATACATATATATATATATATATATTCACACATATATATTCTTTTTGCCACAGATTTTTGTGGTGAATGTGTGAGTTTTATCATCTGTTCTCCCACACCGTGGCGTTTAGTTCTGGGAGGAGGGTGGGAG